TGCTACCTCCTTTGTAAACCATTCCCAATATCCTTGTTATAAACTGCTCCCTCTTCTGCCCTCAAATTACTGCAGATATGTCATTCTACTTTGTGTTACAAATTATTAGAAATATGTTGTTTCCCTTATGAAATTTGCAAGTTTTCTAAGTTTAAGCCCAATAATAGAATTGTTTTCACACGAGCCAGAGCAACTGCCCTAATATATATATATATTTTTGTGTTATAAATTATTTTATATATTTTGTGTTATAAATTATTTGTGTTATAAATTATTAGAAATATGTTGTTTCCCTTATGAAATTTGCAAGTTTTCTAAGTTTAAGCCCAATAATAGAATTGTTTTCACACGAGCCAGAGCAACTGCCCTAATATATATATATATATATTATATTAAATTGAGCTGAATAAGCTGCCCAAATTGGATCTATCACATATTTTAGTCATGTCAATTTTTTACTGGTCAAAGATCAAGGTCAACAGTGATCTTAATATTATTCTCTCCTTTTTCTTATTCAGTCCCCTCAGTGAAAAATACATTCTCATAGCTTAATATAATTACCACTTCACTCCCCTAAATTTTAGACTCTGTATTGGCCTGAGATATCCATATCCAACTTAATGAGTCTCCTTTATCCCAAATCCTCATGGCCTACAAATGAAGCCTCTAGGACAATGTTACAAAAATGTCTTCGTACCACCTGCATTCTTGTTATCAAACATGCAAGTTAAAAATTCAGATTCCTGGACCTTACCCTAGACCTCCTTAATCAGAATCTCTGAGGGTGGGACCTAGGAATCTGCATTACTCATAAGCATCTCAGGGCTGCCGTACACAGGAAACCTTGAGAATCTTCATTCTGGAAAGTCGTCAGAGAGCTTGGTTAGGGGCTGCCTCAAGGATGTGGTGGAGTCCCTGAATCTCCTCTTGGGGTCTCAAATATCATAAGGTGAGCACTGAAATGTGCTTATAGTTCATACAGTTCTGGTGTTGAGAATCAGAAAGCTTAAATGAAAACTTCTGGGACTCAAAGCAGTGAGAAGACAAGGAACTGAATTTGGCCCCTGGTCTGTTATTATTTGGCAAAAAGGTACATATTCAAAATTAGGAGAATCCCATTTAAGGCCTGAATGTGACCTTCCTTCAGCTTCCTCTCACCTTTTACACAGAACATTCTGCCTATAAACGTAAGGTTAAATGAGGAACTAAAATTCACTAAGAACCTGCTCTGTGTCAGGCATTGTACTAGGCGCTCTCCACATATTTCTCATTTAATCAACCACCTGTGAAGTTGCTATTCTTTACGCCCATTTTGCAAATTTAGTAAATTGAGGGTACTAGATATTAAGTAAACTGCTAGTTGGGTAGATTAAGTAAATAATCATGCAGATAAGTTAGGTTGATAAGTAAATGGCTAGATTAATAAACTGCTAGTTTCAGATCCCAGCTCCACCATTTACTAGTTGTAGGACCCTCGGGGAAACTCAACTTCTCTGAGCCTCACCAGCACGCTGACAACAGGGGAAACATTATGTCCTCACAAGGTACTGGGGACTGGAGATGAAATCAGGCACACACAGCACCCACTACAGTGACTGGCCCTTGATCAGTGTTAGCAACCCTCCTCTCACCTCTCCATTCCAGACCTTGCTTTTTTTTAAAAAAAAAAAAAAAGTATTAGGGTGTCTATTTGCTCAGAAGCCTGAAAAGGCCTCTGCTACTTTAATAGGTTCTCAGGAACACTGTTAGCTCTTCCTTTATTCTGTGAGTACACATTTGGGAAAAAAGAAATTCTCGCCTGTGGCTTCTTTCCAGCTTGCAAAGAGACTGGGATGTGAGCAGCCAGGGAGAGCAGCTCCGTGAGTCACGCTTTCAGCTTCCAGTTGTAGACGTGAAGAACAGGAAACAGCCACACTACTACTGCCAACAGCCACAGTGAATCTCTGCCACCGCTGGGCTTTCCCAGATGACATCAGTGAGCCCAGCATGTGGCAGCCCCATCACCAGATGGCCCAAGGAGAGTCTCGGCCACAGTGTCGAGTTTAGGTTGTCCAGTTCCTGAGAACTGGCTTTCTTTGGAATTATTTCTCTGATGATGATCAAACCATGTCATGATTTTAGTTGCAGGAAGTGAACATCAGTGACGTGAGTAGCAATTATGACTGGTTTTGGTTCTAGCTATTTTTTTCTCTGACTATTTACTGTTGAGGGCAAGGGGTGGCATTTATCACAATGTTATGATTCATGCTACTAAACTGGCTGGGATTTCATTTCATCTCTAAGTTCTAGGCCTAAGGCCAAAAGGATGTCAGAATTGCCACCTGAGTCAGACACATGCTCTCACCATCCCCTGGGCAGTGGCCACGAAACACAAGCAGCAATGATTGTTCTTGATGTTAGTTGACCGCCCTGTCCCCCTTTGAATAATCCACAGACATGAATCAAAACCTCTTTCTCTAACCTACCTTTTTCTTACTGCATTTCCTACATATTTTGGAATGATAATTTCCCTGATTATATTACCCAACTTGTGAAACACTAATTGCATTTATTGGTCCTAAATTCATTTCTAAGTCGAGGATTGAGGGATTTTGAGTACAAATCTACTTTCTTCCTGCTCATGTTGTTCGTGACATTATGAGTTCTGCTTACATTTCTTCTCATAGCCTAGGTCTTCATAAGCAGAGGTCTGACCAGCCTCTGTTCCTCGCCTGCCTCCTCCCCCACCTTGACTGTTCACATACATGTTGCTGTGGGAAAAGCTCTTCATCAATTACATTAATGTGTCAACGGTGAGGAAAAAAACCCACTAAAACACAGAAGGACGATTATAACATCCTAGTGGGTACTAGTGCTTGCTGAACAGTACCCATACTGTTGGTGACCTGCCAAACACAGGGGGATAGCATCTTAGCAGGATGGACTTGAACCCACTAAAACACAGAAGGACGATTATAACATCCTAGTGGGTACTAGTGCTTGCTGAACAATACCCATACTGTTGGTGACCTGCCAAACACAGGGGGATAGCATCTTAGCAGGATGGAATTTGAGTATGAATTAAATCAACAACCTAGCAGAAGAGGGAAGAAACCCAAAGTCCTGTGGCTAGAGCTTCTTGGATTCTCCTCAACACTTTCCAAGCCTATAGGCCTCTGATTCTATCCGCATCCCTGCTCCTGCATTGTCGACTTTTTTCTTTTACAACAAATGAAACAATAACACTTGTATTTATTATTCACAATTATTGAAAAAACTCACTTTAATTTGGATTTTTTTATATGAGAACTTACATGTACCTAAAACTCTCATGGCATCTTTATAAAGTGTGCAGGTCATAACCATTTTGTCTGAAGATGGGCAAAGTAAGTCACAGAGATATGAAGTGAGTTCAAATCACATCATGAGTCAATGAGTTCAGGAGACAAATCTGGGCTCTGTGCTCATGACACAGTCCTCAGTTTCAGAGATGACATTCTCTCAGAAGTTAAGGCTGCAGAAAAGGACAGCTAATGTTCACTTTTGAAGATGACCACAGTTAAACCCTGTTAATATCACTTAAGGATTCTGCAGAATTCATGAGTGTCAAATCAGCGGAAGTTCCATTATGTTTACCCATTTCAAAAATTTGCTGTTTGCTTTTTTAAATGGCTGATCAAGACAGTATAAAAGGGCAAACTGTCTCCTAACGCAAGTAGACGTGGTGATGTAATTCCTCCAACCATGAGGGATTTGGAAACGCTAACGGTAACATCCTAAACTGCCCAGAATACAGAAGGGTGACTAAACAAATTGGCAGAGGAATGAAACTTTCTCTCTCTAAGAAAAGTATGTGACAACTCTAGTTCCCACACTGTTTCTGCCTCCAGGAAGAAAAGCCTAAGACTTACTTTCTGCCTGACTCCTTAATGGTCAGTGGAGTTCCTGAGGGGTCCTATATTCAGATCCATCAGGGATTGATAGTGGAACAAAACTGTTGCTGAAGTTCATTTGAGCCCATGATCTACTGTCCTGTGCTTTCGGAACCATCAACCAGTCAGATATTTAATTTTCAGTGAGGAAGGGGAAAGGAAACTCCTTCTGACGTTGCTGTGCAGGAACACATATTCACAATTCATTTTACTTGAGTTTCTAAATATAATGTTACTTTAAAAAGTACTTGATGATTTTCAAAACTTTCATTTTATGCTCAACACAGTTTCAAGAGGTAACTGTTGTTTCTACCATTTTTACAGACAGGAAACTGAGGTTTAGAGAGATTATGTTGCTTAAACCAAGGTCTGCCTGATTTTACAACTTATGCTTTTCTTTTTTATTTATGCTCAACACAGTTTCAAGAGGTAACTGTTGTTTCTACCATTTTTACAGACAGGAAACAGGTTTAGAGAGATTATGTTGCTTAAACCAAGGTCTGCCTGATTTTACAACTTATGCTTTTCTTTTTTTAAATTTTATTTTGAAATAATTATGTATAGTTGCATGAGGTTGCAAAGAAATGTACAGGGAAGTCCCATGTACCCTCCCCAAAACTCCTCCAATGTTCACATCTTATGCAACTATAGTATAATAACAAAACCAAAAAATTGACATTGCCACAATCCACAGAGCTTATTCAAACTTCACCAGTTCTTCATGCACTTGTGTGTGTGTATGTAACTCTATGCAATTTTGTCATGTTCTTTTTTATATGTGAACCACGTACTTTTATCAATTTAGAATATGAAGTCAGATTATAGGAATGAATAAAATGACTTTTCCTTCAATAAAAAAGTATCTACAAACAATCACATACATGACCACTCAGTTTTCATTTCTAGTTCTGATTAAGAAGAAAGAAAAGGAAGAAAGGGAAAAAATTCTACAAATCTCAGCTCTGTGCTAGATGCCTTTATGGGCACATCTTCTGGAGTTGATGACAGGTGCACAAAAGGGGAACACAACTGTTGATTCACGGATAATTATGCCAGAAATTTCCATCAGCAAAAGAAAGTTGATTTTACCTTGACTTCAAATTTATTCTCATCATCTTCCTTCTCTAGAGAGTTCATATCTGTCTCTGTATAAGGTGCCTCAGATGTTCTCTGAGGAGGAGCTACAGGGAAAAAGAAAACCTGACATTAAATTGGTTATATTGCAGAGTACTCTGCCTGACTTGGACCATAGCTGGACCGTGTTGACGTGACTGACTAGCAAAGCTTCACTGAGCTGCTGCGGTGCTTTCCTAGGTAGGGATGAAATTGGAGGTGAAGGAGAGACGCAGAAGAGAAACAGAGTCCTTAACTCCAGGATTTGACATTTGAGCCAAAGAGACAAAAGTCACACCCAGCACCACATGAAACATCAAACCACAATGAGTCAGTAGATATAATGTGACAAGAACAACAGGGTTTCCATCATTCCTACTTTCAAGGCCCAGGTAAAAGGCCACCTTCTTCGTGAAGTCTTCCCTGTTACAAACTTCATGGCTTCTTTCATGCACTGCGCTTTAGCATGCATCACTTGTACTCCGTAATATTGCACTTGATGTTGTTCTTGGATTACAGGACTAGATTATGTTCTAGGAACCACATTTTATTGAATATGTCTTTCCATTATAAAGGTAAATAATTTGTGCTTATGGTAGAAAATTTGAAAAATACTAAAATCTTACATTTATTTATGCACTCTTTTTACACACACACACACACACACACACACACACAATCATACTGTGCTTACATTATAAGGGGATTCCATGCCTGCCCTGGCCAGAAGAAGGAGTGTTGCTAATAGAATCACGTAATGGATTCCAGAACTGATGGAGCCACGTTTATTAGTGGATGAGGTGACCGTGACGGACTCAGTTAGCTGACTGAGGAGGGAATCAGACTGTCTTGTTCTTGTTCTCTTTCTGTCACTCTACCACCCCTCTCTCCTTCCCACAGGGCCTTCAGACACCTGGGGGATATCCTTTCTTCATGCTCCATGGCTCCATCTGGGACTTGGGGAGGAGAAGCTCTGGTTAGACCTTGAGGCTTCCTAACTCACTTTACCAGCTTTACTCAGTATCGGGGGTGACAGCTACCAGGCTAATAGATAAGCAGTACTTTGAGATCTTATTTGTCACCATCACCACCCCTGTGTGTACTTCTCCCTTGGGAAACTCACAGGATACACGTGATTAACTCGAGGCAGGATTTGGACATTTCTAGGTCCCATGGCCAAAGTGCTATCTATCACCACCAATATATCACCCTGATTCTTATCTCTGGTAAACGTGATAAAGGTCGACCATCTGCCCTCCAGAGGCCCCTTCAAGCCCTCAGATTCTGTAAAGCGACTGGAAGCAGCTTGGGCTTTCTATGGGTTTTTCATAGATGTTATGTTGAAATCTACAGTAAAGTACACTGTTTGCTGCCCAGGTTATATGATCACTGAAGGTACTTCTTAATGGACAATGCTTTGAGCACCTCACTTTCTGTAGGATCTCTGTGAAATGAGGGATTCCAGGCACAATAACTGATAATAGAAATGTATGCGCTACAACTGGTGACACCTATGACTGAGAAGTACTTGTCTTTGCTGCTGTAAGTAGAGTGAAGTGGTTAAACAGGCAGGGCCACAGAAGCCAGCATTCAAATCTTGCTCTTCCATGCATGGGACGCACATTATCAGAGTAATCTCTGTGCCTGAGCTTCCTCATTTTTAAAGTGGGGAATAAAGAGAAAGCTTACAGATATCGGCTTGTTATAAGGCTTTAATGAGTTAATATGCACAAAGTGTGCAGATTATAGTAAGTGCTCAATATATTTTAGCTATCATTATAGCCACATGGCATTAAAAAGTTTTTTTCACATTCCTTATGAACTTCAGAGACATTAAATGTTGTACCCAAGGTACCCAGCTAACAAGAGTCAGAGCTAAGATTACCACTCTCATCTTTAACCTCCTCCACCCACCTTCCTTATACTGTGAAATGCCATTGTTTATCTTGGCACGGACTCAGTTGCTAAGGGATCAGACAAATGCATTTGAAAATCCTGTTAGTGACCCACCTGAGTGCACACTCAGTAGTTACCCTCCAAGAATAGGAGTGTAGGATCGTTGCCCAAAATGAGCTAGTTGCCTAACCCAGGTCAATGAAAACCTGTTCAGACATGATAAAGATCTGTTTGCCCTGAGAAGAAGCATTATCTCTTATGAAATCTTGTGTTTGCAAAGCTGAGGAACAAGTTATCATTCCTGCTTTATTTACTCAAAACAAACAGACATGCCTCGAAACCATGAATGAGGCCAAGTCATAGAAGTGAACATAGTTTAGTCTGAGGAAAGAACCAAGTTCTGTTTCCAACCATCTAAGAACACTCTCCAGGTGAGTGTTTGTGTGTGTCTGTCGTGTGTGTGTCTAAGTGTACACGTGTATGTGTGTGTGTGTTGACAGTCTTTAAAAAAAATTATTGAAACATTATTGTACATATTTATGGGGTATAGAATTATATTTCAATACATGTATACAATGTGTACTGATCTATTCAGGGTAATTAGACTATCCATCACTGCAAAACTTAATCATTTCTTTGTGAAGAGAGTGTCTTTGCATAGAAAAATTCAGGAAAGAAATGCACTAAACTATCATCAAGGCTTATTTCTAAAAAGTGATGGAGATAGGGGACTGTAAATCGTACTAAGCGGGGAATCACCAAAAGACCCCATACTTTTCAGATAATCAAATACTGAAAGAAATTTGTTGCCAACAGATTTCCTAACAAGAAATGCTAACTGAAGTTCTTTACCCTGAAGAGAAATGATACAAGATGGTAATTCAGATCTATAATAAGGAATAAAGAACACCAGAGATGGTGAATAAGAGGGTAAACAGAAAAGATGATACATGAGGGTACTTCAAAAAGTTCACGGAAAAACAATTAAAAGATAATACGAATCTTTCCACAAACTTTTTAAAGTACCCTCATATGTATATATTTTTCTTCTTTTCTCTTAATTTCTTTAAAAGATATATGATTATTTAAAGCAAAAATTATAATACCATAGTGGGGGATTTAACATATGTACATGTAATATTTATGATAGGTGTAGCACAGAGGATGGGTGGGGAGCATATGAAACTTGCAAATTTCCTATATTTCACATAAAGTGGTATGATACTAACTCAAATTCAATTGGGATAAAAGGATGTGTATGATAATCCCTAGTGAAACATGGGGGAAGGGGGGTGACAATGCAAAGAGGCATGCTAACAAGCCAGTAGAGGAATTAAAACAAAATGCTTAAAAACATTTGCTAACCCAAAAGAAGGCAGGAAAGGAGGAATAAAAAAACACCTGAGACAAATAGACAAGAAGTAACAAAATAGCTAAATCCAACTATATCAATCATCACATTATATGAAAATGGACTAAACACTCGAATTACAAGGCAGAGATGAACAGAATTATTGAAAACCTAAGACCAACTATATGCTGCCTACCAGAAATATAATTTGAATACAAAGAGAGAAGAATGGAAAAGATACAACATACCAACACTAAGCATAAGAAAGCTGGAATGGCTGCTACATTAATATCAGACAAAAAAGACAGAGTATTATTAGAAATAAGGAGGGAAGAAAAGACATTTCATAATTATGAAAGGGCTAATATATCTGGAAGACATAAAAATTATGAATGTGTATGTGCTTAATAACAGAGCTTCACAATACATGATGCAACAAATGATCTATACATCATTTCCAAGAGCAATCTATACCAGAAACGTACAGTTGTTTTAACATTTGAAAATAAATCATTATAGGGCCGGCCCGGTGGCGCACTGGATAGTGCGCCGCTTGGGAAGCGCAGCGGCGCTCCCGTCCGAGGGTTCGGATCCCACATACAGACCGGTTCCCGCTCACTGGCTGAGCGAGGCGCGGGAGCAACACCGAGGCTTGCGATCCCGTTGCCGGTCCCGGTCCGGTACGGGGGCAACACTGAGGGTTGCGATCCGTTGCCAGACACGGAAAAAAAAAAAAAAAAAGAAAATAAATCATTATAGGGCCGGCCCGGTGGCGCACGGGATAGTGCGCCGCTTGGGGAGCGCAGCGGCGCTCCCGTCCGAGGGTTCGGATCCCACATACAGACCGGTTCCCGCTCACTGGCTGAGCGAGGCGCGGGAGCAACACCGAGGCTTGCGATCCCGTTGCCGGTCCCGAGCCGGTACGGGGGCAACACTGAGGGTTGCGATCCGTTGCCAGACACGGAAAAAAAAAAAAAAAAAAAAAAAAAAAAAAAAAAAAAAAGAAAATAAATCATTATAATCGACCATATTAACAAATAAAGGAGAAAAACCGTATGATCATCTCAATATATGTACCAAAAAGAACATCTGAAAAATTCAACAATCATTCAGGATAAAAACTCTCAAAAAACTAGGAATAGAAGGAAAATTCCTCGATCTGATAAAAGGTATCTGTGAAAAACCTACAGCTAACATCAAACTTAAGGGCAAAACATGAACTCTTTCCCCAACAAGGAAGTCTCCTCTCACCACTTCTGTTTGGTATTATACTGGCTGGAGGTCCCAGCCGTTATAACACAAGGCGGAAAAAAGCATAAAGATTGAAACAGAAGTAAAATTATCCCTATTTACAGATGACATAATTGTATTTCTATACATAAATATATTCTTATTATTAGCTATATATAGTAAATCCTATTTACTGTAGGGTGAAAAAAAACATGAAATGCCTAAGATCCTTACATTCAAAACTACTACACTGTTGAGAGAAATTAAAGATGGCCTATATGTGGAGAGTTATAGCATTCATGAATTGTAAGATTCAGTATTGGTAAAATAATAGTCCTTCCCAAATTAATCCATATATTCAGTGCAATTCCAATCATAATCCCAACAGAAAATGAAAGTTGTTTCTAAAATTTATATGGAACTGAAAAGGACCTAAAATAGCCAAAGCAATCTTGAAAAATAACAAAGGTAAAACACTTATATTATCTGATCTTAAGGCTTACTAATAAGCTAAAATAATCAAGACCATGTGGGATTGGTAGAAGGACTTTTTAAAAAAAAATCTTTCCGAAGAACCAATTTTACCACTCCATTGCTAATAAATTGTCAGCCTTTTAAAGGCCCTTAATGGAGTTTATTTTATGCTAATGTTATTTGTGCATTTGTATTATTCCTTTACTAGACTGTGAGCTTCTCCTGTAAACAGGCACTTAGTGTTATCTAAATGTTTATAAGTCATCAATGTCTGCACTATGCCATATTTATAGTTTGTTTTAAATAACATCTGTCAAAACCATGACCATTATCCATCTCAGACAATCACAGTCTCAACCCTGATGGGTGCTGATCAAACACAAAGCCACAAAACTTCCTTCCCCCAAATAACCTACCCAAGGCGCAGGGCTGGATGGTTTTTGGTGACACCCATTTTGGAGAGGACTCAGGATGGGGGGCCACGGGTTGCACTGGGCGAGTCTGCTTGGCTGCCAGTTTCATCAGACTCACTTGTCTCCTGTGAAATATTTCCTGCACATCGCTCAGCTTCTGCAGGACTTTCTGGGCTTTGGCCTGCAGTAACAAAAGCAAATCACAATGAATATGTCTCTCTGAGCTGAGCCTGAGGACATGAAGGATTCTCCTTCTCCCAGGTTCCCCACCCCCCATCACTACCTCCCTCCGGTGACCCTGCTCTGGGCATCCTTATGCAAGTCACTGCACATCTTGCCACGCTCCAGAACTGGGTTCCTAAGAGTCTGTGTTTCCCACTTGAGACCCTTGAGGGCAACGACCACTTAACGGTATCTCCAGTACCTGGAACACTGTGTGGCACAGGTAGTGCTCAGTAAATGTTGGTTGAGTGGAACAGTGTTCGCTAAGCCATGTCTATTAAGAGTAGGAAAGGATGCCACAGGACACGGATGAAGGGCATCAGGCCAATGTACAAAATAGGAGGATTCCAAAATAAGAAAGGTACCCTGAATAAGAGCCCAGATGGAGAAAAGATTTGAAGTGTTCTAGGGGAAAGAACTGGCTAAATTCTGAGACAGGATCTAGTGAATCACGAAGCACCTGCAATAAAAGGGATACACACTTAAATTTTGTTCTGTTTGACCCCTTCTCTCTATATAAGTAGGAAACAAGAAACTGAAGAAATGCCAGAGGAAAGATGGAGCTTACGGATGTTCCCTTAACCAACTACATGCTCTGTGACAAAGCTCAGGAAAACAGGAAACAAGACCTGGAAGTCTGTGAGTTACACAAAGGCCCACATTCAGCTCAATACACTTCCTCTGGCCCTACTTCTAGTGGGACATCCCTCTGCCTCTGGTGGGTCAGGGGAAGTGGGCAGCCTTTTCTTTGTCATACTGACTCTGACATCTGTCTCCTGGATGATTTTAACCACCAAAGAAGGGACCCAGAATCAGAAGAGCTGAACCACTGTAAGCCATGCAGGGTACTCTGAGGATAACTAATTCCTAAAGTGCAGGCTCAGCACATACCCAGGGAGGTTGGCACATTTTGCAACCAGAAAAGTAAACTTGTCTTTTTTATGCTGTGCCATCATCTAAAGAAAAAAGCAAAGAGCTCTGAGGCTGGATTTAGAGCAAATGGGCTTCCACAGCACTGGGATGTCAGCTATGGAACAACTGGTCCCCTGTAGCCTGAGGGCCTATCGAGGCTGACCTCTGGACCAAGATCTGCAGCTGGTCTCACTCTTTGGGGTGGCGTCTCAGAGTCCAGACTGGTTTGGTCCAATACAGTAATCACTAGCCACATGTGGCTGTTGAGCACCTGAAATGCAGCTAGTCTAAACTGAGATGTGCTATAAGTGTAAAATACACACTGTATTTTGAAAATTCAGTATGGAAAAAGAATGTAAAATATTTTATTAATTTTTATATTGACTATATATTTAAATAATATTTTGGATAGAGGTTAAATAAAACATTAAAATTGATTTCACCTGTTTCTTTTCATGTTTTAAAATACGGCTATTAGAAAATCTGAAATTACATATGTAACTTGCACTATATTTCTATTGGACAGTGCTGGTCTAGATCAGCAATCTTTTTCTGTAAAGGACCAAATTGTAAATACTTTAAGCTTTGCAGACCATCTGCAACTACTGAATTCTGCTGTTTTAGTATAAATATAGCTTTAGATAACAAATAAATGATGGATATAGCTGTGTTCCACTGCAACTTTGTTTTTTAAAAAATTCATTATTTTGTTTTATTTTATCACTACACAGTGTAAACATTTCTCATGGCCCTTTACCAATTTCTCCATAATCTGCCCTCCCCCCTCCCCCTTTCCCAACTCTGGCATCCTCAGTTCTGTTCTGTCCTTATGAAAGTTAAATGAATTATTGTGATGTTGTATCTTTCTTTCTTTCTTTTCAGCTCCCACTTATGAGTGAGGACATGTGGTATTTCTCTTTCTGTGCCTGGCTTATTTCACTTAACACAATTTTCTCTAAGTTCATCCATGTTGCTGCAAATGGCAGAATTTCATTCCTTTTTATGGCTGAGTAGTATTCCATTGTGTATATATACCACATTTTCCTTATCCAGTCGTCCATCAATGGACATGTACGTTGGTTCTAATTCTTAGCTATTGTAAAAAGAGGTGTGATAAACACGGGAGTGCAGGTATCCCTTCAAGATGATGATTTCCATTCCTTTGAGAATATATCCAGCAGTGAGATTGCTGGATCGTATGGCAGTTCTATCTGTAGTTGTTTGAGGAAACTCCATACTGTTTTCCATAATGGCTGCACTAATTTACACTCCCACCAACCATGTAGGAGGAGTCCCCTTTCTCTGCATCCTCACCAGCATTTGTTATTCTCTGTTTTTTTGATACTAGCCAGTCTAACTGGCCTGAGGTGATATCTCAATATGGGTTTGATCTGCATTTCCCTGATGCTTAGTGACGTTGAGCATTTTTTCATGTGTCTGTTGGCCATTTGTACATCTTCCTAAGAGGAATGACTATTCAGCTCCTTTGCACATTTTTTAATTGGGTTACTTGTTTTTTTACTGTTAAGTTGTTTGGGTTCCTTGTCTATTCTGGATATTGATACCTTGTCAGATGCATAGTTTTCAAATATTTCTCCCATTCTGTAGGTTGTCTTTTCAATTTGTTAACTGTTTATTTTGCTGGACAGAAACTTTTTAGTTTGATATAAATCCCATTTAATGGCAAGGACTATGACTTACATTACTGTATTCCCAGAACAGAGCAGTACCCACAAACTGGGTACCCAATGAATATCTGAAGAATTGAATTTTTCTGTTTGCTACTGAGACTGTTTCACTCTCTGGACTACGTGGTGGAAGTGAATGAGGGAGAAGAATCACAGCAGCACTAAGAGGGTAGCACAATAGCAACGTAGGACAAAACATTTAAGAGCTTCAGACAGTGACAGGGTGGCTGCTGTAAGAACAACAGTTTAATTTCTGATGCAGTTTTGATAGTCACTGTGCCTTCAGTGTAACAGATTCAATTCTTTAGACATAGAATAATACAGTTTTTAAAAAATAAATTTTATTTTTTATTGTAGTTTTAGATCTCCAACAAAATTGAAAAGTAGTAGAGTTCCCATATACCCCTTACCCAGATTTCCCTGTTGTTGATATTTTATATTAGTACATTTGTTACAGTTAATGAACCAATATTGATACTTTATTGTTAAATAAAGTCCACACTTAGTTTTTATGAAATGTACTTTTTCTTCCATGAACCAATATTGATACTTTATTGTTAAATAAAGTCCACACTTAGTTTTTATGAAATGTACATGTACTTTTTCTTCTTTGATACTTTATTGTTAAATAAAGTCCACACTTAGTTTTTATGAAATGTACTTTTTCTTCCCCAGGATACCACATTACATCTAGCTGTCATGTCTTCTTCGACTCCTATTGGCTGTGACAATTTCTCAAATTTTCCTTGTTTTTTATGACATTAACTGTTTTATAGAGTATTGGTCAGGTATTTTGTAGAATTTTCTTCAATTGGAATTTTTCTAATGTTTTTCTCATAATTAGACTAGGGATACGGGTTTTGGGAGGAAAAGCACAGAGGTAATTGCCATTTTCACCACATCCTATCCAGGGTACATATTATCTACATGACATCCACTGTCAATGTTGGCCTGGATCACCTGGGTCAGGTGATATTTGTTAGGTTTCTCACTGTAAGGTTACTCTTTTATTTCCCTCTTCTCATACTCTTTGGAAGCAAGTTGCTATATGCAGCTCACACTCAAGGAGTACGGGAGTTATGTTCGCCCTTCTTGAGGTAGAGCATCTACACAAATAATTTAGAATTATTCTGCATAGGAGATTAGTTTCCTTTCCCCCATTTATTTATTTATTCCATCATTTATTTCTATCATTATAGATTCACAGATATCTATTTTATACTTTGGGTTGTAATCCAATTCTACCTTATAAATTTTGGTGTTCAAATTGTTCCATCGTTGGCCATCAAGAGGTCTTTCAATTGGCTCCTATGTCCCATCATTGTGGTGTGTTATTTTGTTTTGGTTTTAGCACTTCCTTACTTTCTAGCACGACAAGATACTCCAGGATCATATTGCACTGCCGCAGTCCTAGAAGCAGCCATTTCTCCAAGGAGCCCTGGCTTCTTTCATTGGAGAACGGTATTAGAAACCAAGATCTTGGTGCTAGGTGTGCCCGCTGACACTATGGCTTCATTGCTTCTAGGCCCTCTCAACTGTCATGTCTATACCGACCCAACATATATCTAGGAATATTTCTATTGTACAGAGTACCAATGCTAACAAAAAAGCCATTAGTTCCTAGTGGACAAAACTACTCTTTGATACAATAGTATATTTAAATCTTACAACCTAAAATTTTACTCCAAACCAAATGAAGAAAAGATGGACTTTGGGGATATTTTGGTCTATTTTACATACAGGATTTATTATTATTTTTCTTCCAATCCTTCCCTTCACCCACATTTCTACCTGTTTCCCAGAAGTGGTGCTAAGTTTTACCTATTTCTGGGGGGTAGTGGTGGGGTTTTGCTCAAGTTGGTCAGCACTGCAGCTGAAGCCACAAGTCTCCCTGGTTGACCTGTGACACTTATTTGATAAGCCAGTGGAGTTGGAGCAGGTTGAGACTGCTCTGCCTTAGAAATTTGACCTGGGGCTACTGATACAGCATCAGCAATATAGTAGATATGCCAGATGGGCCTTCTCTTTGTCTCCTTTGCAGGGAAGTAGCAGGGTCCCTGTGCTGAGGGAAGGTGGCCTCCCCACCCCCACCCCACCTCGAGATCATACCTCATGGCCAAAACTTGCTGGGAAGAGTCAGGGAAAAAACATCACTAAGGTAAAGCTCCACGCCGAGCTGCCCCTGCTGCTCTCAGTCCATTCTGCCACCCTGCCTGCCTACTTGTTCAACAAGCATAGACTGGACACCAGCCACAGGCCAGGCACATGGGGACACAGAGCAGGATGAGGCACAGGCCTGCCCTTGAGGAGCTCCCAGGGTAATAAGCAAGAGAGACATTAAAAATAAAAAAACTAGAATGCAGTGTGATTCATGTCATATTAAAGCAAAGATTCTTGGCCTGAGTCTGTGAATTACTTATAAAATTACCTACAAAAACTTACATATGCTGAACATTCCCTGTTTGTTTCTCCACTGCATATTCTCTGCCCTGCTCTGTGCTGTGGGAAACTGACCTCTACGGACTCCATCAGATGAGCCCATGGGCTTTCAGTTGGCTTTGGCCAATGAGAAGCACCACCAGGAAATCAGAGAAAGGGAGAGAGAAAAGTAGGGGTACCTATTGCCCCACCAGTGACTGCGTTCCTGTACCCAAGGCCACAGTTCCTCCTGGCCGCCTTCTCTTACAGTCACAGCTCTAGCTCTTCCTGGGCTCCCTGGCTCCTCGGGCTTAGGAATGGTAACTGATCCTGGTTTCTTGCCAGCCCCAAGGTGCTGCATCATCCCCTGAGGGCATCCCTAAATCCTGCCCATGTCTTTGTAAACAGAGCCTATATCAAACCCCTTTTAATCACTTTGAGTGGCAGAACCCTGAAACTATTTGAGTCAGACTCTTGAAAGGGTCCATTATTCACAAGAGGTAAAGAAGCCCCTAAAACAGAGGTACAACTGGGTGACGTGGATCTCAGAGGAAGGTGTGCATCTAAAACCCTGTTGGCTTCATGGAAGAGTGCTCCTCTCAAAATGTAAATCCAGTCAAGTTATTCCCCTGCTTCAACCCTTCAATGGATTCCCACTCCTCTTAGAATAAAGACCAAACTCCTTAATGTGGCCCACAAAGCCCCACCTCATCTGCCGTTCTCTAGCCTTACCCCAAACATGCTTCCCTTGCTCTCTAGACTCTGGCTACCCTGACCCTTGGTTCTGTACTTGTGCCAGGCTCCCTCCAGCCTTGAGGCCTTTGCACATGCTGTTCCTTCTGTCTGGAAAGGAACATCTTCCCCATCTTCTCTGCTCATTCTACTCATTCTCCAGGTCTTTGCTCAACTGACACTTCCTAGGAGCCTTCTCTGACCCCAGTCCAGGTTGAGTTCCTCTGTCCCATGCTCAATAGGACACTGAATCCCTCCTTCAGAGTGCTTATCTCAGCTTGCAACACATTTTTGTGTGATTATTTTATTAATGTCAGCCTCTCCCACTAAACTGCAAGCTCCATGAGGGATGGAAACATGCCTATTTCTGCTCATCACTGTATCCTCAGCACTCAGCACAGTGCGTGATACATCAGAGATGCTCAAAAGTAACTGCAGAGAAATAAATGATTGAAGTTAATACTTGAGTCAGACCATGAAGGGTCACTTTGCCCGGATGTTCAGGCTAGGAGACTAAGAGGCCGCCCAAAGGACTCAAGAACTGGTTAGCCCACTCAGTACTGCCTGTACGGACTTTCATAGGCAAGAGGCAAAGTCCCCCCTCCCCCATCCCTTTCCCAACCACAGGATCAGAATGAACCAGAAATATTACCTTTACATCAAGGGTGAGTATCAACTCAAACTGGTTGTAAAACTCCTTGGGGCTGAGCAGCTGATACTCCTTGGCTGTGCCCAGGAATGTCTCAATGTCATTCAAGGCAGTGTCAACCCCCTCTCGAGACTGGCACTTGTCTACAGCTTGCGAAGCCAAGAGGTAGATTCCCGCTTCACACCACTGGCTGACCTTTAGAAAAGAAACAGTGTCCTGTGCAGTTAGCCTGGCCACGACTCAACCACAGTCCTCAGGATGTCAAGCTTGTAAGGATCTACAAGGATTCTGAGACAATGCGAAATTGTCATGGGACAGCATAAAGTTTAGGGATCTAACCATTGTAAACAAAACTATGAGGTAGACAAGCCCAAACCAATTTTACATCTGTCCATTTCTCAGGGAAGTCAGTAAAATGAAACTATTCTTCTCATTTCCACTGACAGTAATTGCTACATCTCCAGGGGGAGAGAGTTAAATATTTCTAAGGTTGGTCTAACCATAGACAAATGTAATGTATGGCTTTTCAGGTTTAGGTAGACAAGCCCAAACCAATTTTACATCTGTCCATTTCTCAGGGAAGTCAGTAAAATGAATAGTATAAACATTCTTCTCATTTCCACTGACAGTAATTGCTGCATCTCCAGGGGGAGAGAGTTAAATATTTCTAAGGTTGGTCTAACCATAGACAAATGTAATGTATGGCTTTTCAGGTTGACGTGCTAGGTCATTTGTTTTACATCCTAATTGGTTACAAAAACACACAGCAATTAATGAGGCATTAGACCTGGCCCCTATATGCCTTCCTGGGGGAGGGGATATCCCTTTTGACAAAAATTCCACTTCCACTTTCTTCTTTGGATTCCCAGGTGATCCACATTTGCATTTACTGGCGTTTGTCTTTTCCTAAGGAAACATCCAAGAGTGCAAAGGTTTGTAACTCAGAACAGCAATACTCAAATTTTCTGGGTGCTGGGATGAAATCAGATAGGTGATGAATTCTAACAATTCAATTTTTAAAAAGATTTGTTTTCCTTGACCTTTTGAACTCCACTGAGACACTTGAACAGAAATACAGGGGGCCCTTGTGCTGCCTGAATATTTATTTAGCTTCCAGTGCAAGTACGTCTGCATTTCTATTTACCACCTGCCCTCAAGGGCAACGTAAAATAACTCTACAAAGGAAAAAGATCAAAAGGGCACACTACAGAGTGGTTATCTCTAAGTGGGAAAATTACAGGCAACTTAAATGCTTGTCTTTATTGTTTTCCTAAATTACCTACACTGAATATGTACTATGTTTAGAACAACAAAAAATAATAAAGATATTTTTAAATTAATGATTACCATTGTGTGGAGACGGAAAGTAGAATGTGTAGTGTTCATGAGCAATTTTTTTCCTCCTCCTTCCTACATTTTCAGGTTTTCAAAATAATATGCAATCAGGCTTTGATATATACCATGAAAACTTCCTCTTTACACATCGTGCCTAGTTCTGCAGAAAACACTAAGCTGGGGTCTTCTGCAGAGTTACAGCAGCTACTTGCTTCCCCAGACACACACACACACACACACACGCACACACACACACGCACACACACGCACACACACACACACACGCACACACACACACACACACACACACACTAGTACCAGGCTATCATCTGGGGTCTTCTGCAGAGTTACAGCAGCTACTTGCTTCCTCAGACACACACGCGCGCACACACACACACACACGCACACACACACACGCACACACACGCACACACACACACACACACACACACACACGGCTATCATCTCCAGAGCAGAAAAGGAGTTAGGAAAACAGCAGCTGACCCTGTAGCGAGCTCAGCACACAGAGCAGGCTGTGCACCAGCCCCTTCTGAGCCACTTGTTTCTGGAACAACTGTCTTTCATTGACAGTAAAATCCCTTTGGCAACACGATGTTGTAAATGGCCTGGATGGGTGCCCACAGCCACGAGAGAGAAGCAGCTGTGGATGGAGCATGCTGACTCATGGCCATTAGCCACATGCTGCCTGAGAACAGCTGACAGGGCAGGCTCCAGAAGTCACTGCTCCTGCTGACTGGGAACTTCCCCAGAGGTCACCTCTGAAGGGCACCAGGGTCTGCACACCCCTGTCCCTGAAAGGTCTAACCTAAGAAGCTTGGGTGTGGAATATGGCAAACCTGGTTTCAAATCTGCTTCCCCTATTTACACTACATGTGGTCTTGGGCCATCACTTATCCCAGCATTCCTCAGCGTTGTCCCTGCGCCACTTATACCACAGTCACTTGGGCACTTGACTGATTCCTGGATATCATTCCAGACCAACTGAATCTGAGTCTTCAGAATGGAGCATCAGGGAATCTGCAATTATAACCAGCTCACTAGGCGATTCTCACAGACTAAATTTTGAGACCCACTGACTTAACCACGTTGAGTATCAGTTTCTGCCTCTGTACACTGAGGCCATCAATACCTTCCTCATAGATTGTCTTTAGAATTAAAGAGATGACATAATTATGCTCCTGGTAGGAACACAGTAGGTGCTCAATAAATGGTAGGGTAGTATAATGGTCATTATTACTTAAGCTTCTCTAAGAGGATTCACAATTTCTTGCCTTTAAATGAGGGAAGCACTTTGCAAATATAGTGTTCGGTTCTCTGTACACCTGAAAGGGAATCAAGATATGTCCCCATAGGGCCAGGCCCAAACTCACTCTTTATATCTGGTTCCACACAGAGGGAAATGGACTTTAGGTAATTTTAATGGGATGTGGTGGATGGCTGGGCACTTTTTACCTTCAATACCTCTACAACCCAGAATCTGTAGTTTTCAATGCCTCTTGAGCACTTTTTCACATAAAATAGTTGATCTCTTGGCATTCACATGATGCAAAGAGGACAAGTATGATTAAAATTGTTTTACAGAGCATCTTGCAGATATGTTCATGACTTTGTTTTGCTCACCTTGTCCAGCTGTCTATGCAACTCCAAGGACTTTCCTAAAATGTCATGTTTTTTCTTATTTTCATTGATGAAGTCATCACAGAGGTGCCTGAGCTCCACACACCTGGGCCTGATGGAGTCCACTGCATCATGGTGACTCTGGATGAGCTGGTCGCCAACTACTGCAAGCTGCTGGGCCTTTTCCAAGGGCTCCTACAAAATGAATACCCACAGCCAAGCATCAGAAGTGAGGGCATCATGAGGCTGATAACTACCTGGCACCATGTGCTCCGAACATAGAGGGAAGCTGGGGAGATGCTGATCCAGGCCTTAGTCTGGGGAATCAGAGAAAGCTCTGTAGTGGTTCCAGGTCCCCAGGAAGTCTAGCCTAAGCCAGGGTCATCCACACTGAGAAGAACAGCAGTCATTCATTCAAATACTTGTTGAGTTCTGGGCTAAACACTGAGGGTAGAGTGTTAACAAGCCAGAAATTTTCAGTTTATTTATTCATTTTTAAAGATTTTTAGCCTTTAGTATGATATAAGGTTTATTTGAGTTTTTGGCTTCCAGCCACTTGAAGCCAAAGAAATGTGTTTTATTATTCAAAGAAATTCGCAAATAAAGTATTAATTTTAGATTAAAAACAACTTATTTACATGGTACTGAATAAAATCCCTGGAATAAATATGGAATTTGTTTAAAATCACACAATTTTCCCTGTTGAGTTGATTTATAACACAGTTATAATATTCAAACCATGAGAAAATTGTTAATTACACGTTTATTTCATCAACTTACAGTTATCATTCTCAAGTTTGACTTTATTTTCTTACCTTGGGTCTTAATGTTAGAAAAATCTAGAATGACAGACAATGCTTTGTTATAACCAACGCTACATACCCATTTCAACTTATTTAAAAGTCACCATTAGAACACTTTATCTTAGAATCATCCTCTTCACACAACTCTTCACTGTAACAACATGTTAAATCATTACAGGGTCATGCAGAAGGAGAAGGGAGCCCACCTACAATCCATACTCACTGCAAACAAAGCATTGTCCTGGACGGTGGATCATTAAATACCGACAAATATCCTACAAAAGCAATGTGATTATCTTCACTTTTATGATATGGTCATTGAGGTTCCTGGAGCTTTAAATGACTTGTTTAAGGAACAAAGCTAATAAATGGCAGAGTTCAAAGTGAACCCATCTCTGCTTTTCATCCATTCATTCATTCTTTCATTTATTCATTTGGTTCTTCATTCAACAACTATTTACTGAAGGCCTACTATGTACTAGGCAATTATCTAGATACCAGAGTAAAGAAAACAGCCAATAATCCCTGCATTCGTGAGCTGACATTTTTGGCTAGGGGGCCAAAAATAAACAGTAAACTCATTCAAAGGTCCAAGTTTTTCACACACACACACACACAGAGTGACTTCCCTGTGTTCTTTACATAAAACCAAGTAAGAAGAGAAAACAAGAGAGCACATGGATGAAACCCTCTTGGTTCCTAAAAGTATCTGCTCTGGGGTTTTCTTATTGGCCTCTGAAAGTTACTCTTTCAGTGAGAAATTATTCGGGTTTTCCCCCATAACCTACCAGTACAAAGAAATTTTCAGATTAATGGATTATTCAGATATTAACGTATTTATACAAATTATTAAATATTACAATTGTGATAAACTCTAGGGCAGGGAAGCATGGAGTGTTATAGGGCACGTGATAAGAGACTCTGAATCCTCCTGTATACTAAAAAGAAAAGAATGAAGGACAGACACTTGGCTCTGAGGAAAGTGGGGGATGAGATGAAGTTGAGAAACTGTTAAAGATTTGGTTTGGGAAACTCTGGTGGTCATGACACTTAAGAAATATGTTTATCTAAATCCCTTCCTGAGGCCCACAAGGTCCCTGTATGCTCTGACCCTGTCTGCTCACCAACTGTATTTCCTACCTCTTTTTTGCATGGCTCACTTTGTTCTGACCACATGTGCCATGCTTTCCTGTTTTTAAGTATTCACTCACTCATCCATCACATAAGGACCTGCCATGTACCAAGCACTGGCCTAGGTGCTGGGGCTTTGTTGGGAAACAACGCAGGAAAAACTCCCCACCGTCATGAAGCGTACATTTTAAGGGAAGACACAGGCACTACACAATCAAATATGTAGATTCTATAGTTTGTTGGACAACAATGAGTGTGATGGAGAAAAATAAAACAGGAGTGAAGGCCAGGGAGTGCTGGTGCTGGTGTTGCTATTTTAAATTGGATGATGAAAGAAGGTCTCACTGAGAAGGCGCTCTCCGAGCTGTGCAGGAAAGAGTTAACCTCACAGGCCTGACACTGCTCTCCTTAGAAAGGCCTGCTTGCAAGGTCGGCCCTATGTGGGCAACCAGGAACTTAGATTTTTGGAGGGTTCTACCATTCTCTGATATGAACTGCTCATGGTGCCTAAACTGCTTGTGCAAAAATGTGGTGTATGCTGAAGACCTGCTTTCCTTCTGGGAGTCTGGGATTTTGGTATGTGCCAGGCAGAGACTGCCTACATGACCAGCTGCCAATAAATCTCAGGCACCGAGTGTCTGATGAGCTTCCCTGATAGATAATGTTTCACATTTGTTGTCACAACTCATTAATGGGGGAAGGAAGCATGTTCTTTGTGACTCCTCTGCGAGGGGACCATTAGAAGCCTGTGTCTGGTTTCCTCTGGACTTTGCCCCATGTGCTTTTTTCCTTTGCTGATTTTCTTGGTATCTTTTCACTGTAATAGAAAATAACTCCAAATATAACTATATGCTGAGTCCTATGAGTCCGTGTGTTAGTACATTTTCTGTTGCTATAACAGAATACCACAGACCGGGTAATTTACAAAGAAAAGAGATTTATTTCTTACAGTTCTAGAAGCTGGAAAGGCCAAGAGCATGGCACCAGCATCTGGTGAGGGCCTTCTTGCTATATCATAACAGGGCAAAACCATCACATGTTAAGACAGAGCAAGCTTGCTAGCTCAGGTCTCTCTTCCTCTCCTTATAAAGCCACCAGTTCCATCATGGGGGCCTCACCCTGATGACCTTATCTAATCCTAATTACCTCTCAAAGGTGCCACCTCCAATGAACACATACATTTGAGGATTAAGTTTCTAACTCATGAAATTTGGAGGGTACATTCAAACCATAGCCATCCTCCTAGCAAATCTTCAAATATGTGCATGTTCTTGGGAACCCTCAACATACGAGCCAAGGCCTGATGTGAGAGACACGCCACGAAGTCCCTGTCATGAGGTGGGGCATGTTTGACAGGTTTGGGTAGCATGAAGGAGGTTGGTGTGGCTGGAGCAGAGGGAGCAAGACAGAAGGGAGTAGAAGACATGATTAGAGAGGAAAAGGGGGCATCGGATTGGGGAGGACCTTGCTGCCATTGTATGCACTTTGGCTTTTACTCGTTGTGACATGGGAAGCTCTGGAGGATTCTGAGGAGAGGATGTCACTCACACTTTTGGAAGGGTTGCTCCAGCTGCCATCTGAATAACAGCACAGCAAGAGGGAAAGCAGGGAGACCAGCTGGGCAGGGAGCTATTGCAGTAACCCAGCTGAGAGATGGGGCTTAACCAAGGCTGGTAACCAAACTAGTTCCTACTTCAGGGCCCTTCTCTGGGATGCTCTCCCCTGGGCCATTCAGGTCTAAGCTCCTGGGTCACCTCCTCACAGGGCCTTCCCTGACTACTGTATCCAAAGTCACTGCCCCCAACCCACCCACCCAGGCCCTCTCTCTCACTTTGTTTTAATTTTTAAAAAGGACTCACCTCTATCTGAAAATTATCTGCTCAGTTTACTTTAGTGTATGATTCCACCTTCATCCACCCACTCCCATCAAAATGTAAGCTCATGAGAGCACTGAGAGGACACTCAATAAATATTAGATCAACAAAATGAAGGAATGAGCCACTGAGCTGGATGATGCCGTGATCCGCTCGGCTGGCATTGTGTGAGGCAACACTGACTGACCTGTGAGTTAAAACAGATGACCGCCGTATTCCAAAAGGTCTCTGGGAGCAGAAAGCCCGTAAGCCCCCTTGCCAACCACGGTGTGCATCTAGCATGCCACATCTGCCCGGGTTTGGCTTTTTACAATGATACAAGAAGTCATGATGGAGTGAAGACAACTTGCCCCTCTCTTATCTTGCACTGGTTTATGGTTTCAACAATCTTAACCCCCTGACTTCCCACCCCACAGTCATTCACCAAGCCCTGCAGTGTCCACACATCCGTCTTCATACTTTTCGAATTCTGACCCATCTCTACCACCTCCTTGCCATTGTCTGTTCAGGCTTTTATGCTTTCTCTTGGGAACAGCTGGTCTCCCTGCTTTCCTTCAGGCTCTCCTTCAAATCATGCTCCAGACTGCTGGCAAAACAGTGATTCTAACATAGCATCTTATCATGTCTCCATCACTCTCAAACTTCAAATTCTTTCCTGGTCCCCCAAGATCTTCAGGAGCAAGTTCAAACTCCTGAGCAATGCACTTGGGGCCTTTCATTATCTAGCTCATACCTCAGTGTACCTCACCCACGCCTCCTCCTCCACTCCCCTCAACTCCATTCTCTGCTGCAACTGTACTAATGACCCATTTGTAATTCCTCAAATATTCAGACAGCTTCATGCCTCCACGCCTCCTCCACTTGTTCTCTCTGCCTCCAAAGCCCCATCCTTCCCTAATCGCATCATCCCCACCCATCCCTCACTGCACCTACCCTCCTCTGGAGCTAACTCTATCGAAATAACTCTTTCAGAGTCCACCTTCTCCAGGACACTTTCTCCAACTCCACCATTTTAATTTGATGCCCTCCCCCCTGCCCCGCTCTCACAACACTCTGTGCTTCTCCTAATCAGAGCACGTACTTCACTGTACTGTGCCACTTTCCCACTGCTGGCACTATGCCATAGACTCTTGTGGACAAGGACCAGCTCTTATTCAACTTAAAACAGAAAATGGCACATAATTGTCATGCACAACAAAAAGGAGCAATGATAGGGGAATGAGGTGACACAAATCAAGCAGTGGCTAGTTACACGTGTTCAGGGATAAATACCCAGTACACTTGTTCTGAACAGAAAAGGCTCAGAACCAGTGGTCACCATCCCTGAAAGGATATTAAAATGCTAATTCCTCAGGAAGTGATTTTTTACTGTTTTGTTCACCGCTAT